GCAGTAAGTAACACTGGGAAGCTGTGAAAGCCTGCAGTAAGTAACTATAGAGATTAAAAAAAAATCTGGGAAGCTGTGAAAGCCTGCAGTGAGTAACCGTAGAGGGGAAAAAAAACCGTGGGAAGCTGTGAAAGCCTGCAGTAAGTAACCGCAGAGGGGAAAAAAACCCTGGGAAGCTGTGAAAGCCTGCAGTAAGTAACCGCAGACGTAAAAAAGACCCTGGGAAGCTGTGAAGCCTGCAGTAAGTAACCGTAGACTCGTAGAGGTAAAAGCTGGGGATACTTAAACAGATGCCAATCCCTAAAAACTATCCACACACACCCTTTTCTCCAACTCCCATCTTCTGCCGAACATAGCGCACCCTGTGCATGAATGTACACAAGCTATCTTCCTGGTCTGATGCAGTTATCATGAGTCTGTGTTATGTTTTTTGGGGAAGACGGTATAATTTCTGTATCTTCTCCTCACTCGCAATGGATCCGATGCCCACTTACTTCCAGCATCCAAAAGGGAGAGCTTCCATTCAGCCAGGCCATATTAACACTGGCACTTCCCTTCATGTTTCTGGGTCTAATGATGCCCACATTCAAAAGACAAAAGGAGAACATGAATGCAAGTATGCTCAGGTGCCAATTCACCCTCCCCACTTGACGAGACTGAAACTCCCAGAAAAAATACGAGAGGGTACGACAGCAAATGTACCCACCTGGTGGCCGAATGGTGCGTGCAGAATGCTGTTCGTAAACAAATCGTGTGTTCAAATCCTGTTGGAGACGAATACGGTTTAGGGGATCCCCTTTTATTGAAAAGAAACTTGAAAAAAAGGCTACAACAAAAGGCCAGTCTCAGAAAACAAGCTGGGATAAGGGATGACGTCGACCAATAAGATGTGAGGTCTGAAGGGATGATGTCAACTAAACATGCCAGGTCTGAACAAGGTGACGTCAACGAATAATATGCTCGAGACGGAAAGCTGCCCCAAATATGACAAGCGACCGTATGTTCTATTTGGGGGGAAGACTGTAGGTGACCTAGCCTAATAATTACAATAGCATCTATGTTACAAGAGTGGCCTGGGATGACGTCGACCAATAAGATGCGAGGTCTGAAGGGATGATGTCAACTAAACATGCCAGGTCTGAACAAGGTGACGTCAACGAACAATATGCTCGGTCCAAAGACGTAACATGATCGGATATGCTAGGGCCCAAGCGATGACGTCAAACTATATGCAAGGTCTAGTGTGATGACGTCAACTCATATGCTGCTGCCGTCTTCCACCGGATAGAACGTGTGGTCATCGTCCCGGTATCGAGACGGAAAGCTGCCCCAAATACGACAAGCGACCGTATGTTCTATTCAGGGGAAGACTGTAGGTGACCTAGCCTACTAATTACAATAGCATCTACATTACAAGAGTGGCCCGGGACCACTTGCCCGCCTGGGCCAAAAATGAATAAAAAGGTAAAAGCAAATCAGTTGGTACACCCACGAACTGTTGAAATACAGACCCGAGTTGAATCCCATTACTGTCAGAAGAGCAAAATAAAATCATTCTGAATTGCCTGGGGCCGGTCAGTTCAATTATGATATCTCAAGGCCATCATCCCCCTTTTAAAGACCCAGCGCGGCGAAGCTGTGCCCCCGTCCTAGCTATACACGGCAGGAAGCGTGGCAATGTCGGTCTCTGTGTGTGTGTGTGTGTGTGTGTGTGTGTGTGTGTGTGTGTGTGTATGTGTGTAGGATGAGCAAAATCGGAATGAATCTTCAGCCAGAACATGGAAATGTACACTGCCACCCCCTTTTTCTTCATGTGTGCATCAACTGAGCAGCCTGCAAATGTGCAAAATGGGAAGGAATCTTCTGCAAGAACATAGGAAGATACGGGCAGTCGTAGTCTGGGCGCTGAGCGCCAAGTAGGAGGAAGGGCTCTGGATACATATGTTGGTGGGGGCGGCGAGAGTATGCTCTCATTGACATTCGGATTTGGTGCTTTGGTTCTCCATTGGTGGAATATCGGTGCATTTCTGCTTTCTGGACAGTGTTGGACTTTCTGGCTTTCAATGCGATTTTGCATTCTGGAGTTTCTGTCATTTCGCTATCGCTCATTTTCCTTGCACATGCCCTTGGATTTTTGTCTTCCCCCTTTTTAGGCCTTTTTGCAGTTCCCATTATGTTTTTGCATGCCGTTGAATTTTCTTTTTTGGTAAGTACTCTTAACTTTGTGACCCTTTTCCAGAACTTGTTTTTTCCTTTTCTGTAAATTTATGATTTTGTAAAGCCGCTGTGAAAGTGCAAGGGTATTCTGGAAAGTTGCTTAGCCAGGGGCATCTCTAAAAACATTCGTACAGTATGGATGCCTCTGCAATTTTCCACAGGCCTAAGACTTGAACTGTCTGGTGCTACTGATACCCAACTGAATCGGAGCTGCAAAATCGGCTACGTTCATCATTTGACGCCTGTTAGAAGCTTGTAATGGGATTGGAGCATGCAGGGAAGGGAAAGGTTCTACAGTCCGCACACTTTTTGAGTCCCCCTCTTTCCTGTCCCCTCCTCCTCCTCCTCCTCCTCCTCCTCCTCCTCCTGACCGTTCCACCATGCCTGCATTTCTCTTCCTCTTCTACAGTGCACACACTTTTTCAGTCCCCCACTTGTCCCCGCACCCTCCCCTCCTCCGCCTCCTCCTCCTCTTTCTTACCGTTCCACCATGCCGCATCTCTCTTCCTCTCTCGCATTGCTGGTTTGTCTCCGCCTCTGCTCTGCGTCATATTCTTACCTACTTTCTGCTTCGGTCGCATGCATGTCCTGTCTGTCGTCTGTTTTTTACCAGGGTGAAACTTGAAGAAATAAAAATGTACGAGAATCACCTGGTGGTCATGGAGAGGGAAAATGCACTACAGAGGATGATCGTGTACGTGCTTCCGCCTGCCGGACATCCTGTCCATGAATTGCCAAAGGGGCGAGAAGTTGCTTTCGATGATGAACCCTTCTCCATCGAAATCCTAGACACGCAGTTTAAATCCCCAATTCTAAGGTTCCAGTATTCGTCATTCAAGGGTCCGCGTTTGACTTTTGACTTGGACCTGAACACGTTTGAACGCGTGCTCAAGAAGACAGATCAGGCAAGTGGCTTCATGCTCGCGTTGGAGGCATTTATGATTTATCTAATTGTGTTTTTTTTTTTTTTTTTTTTTTTTTTTTTTTTTTTTTAAATTTTAATTTTTTATTTTTAAAATTTAATTAAAAGGGTGGGCGACGTCCTTGAGGTATCTCATGATGGAACTGAATGAGCAGCCCGACATGATTAAGAACGAATCTGTTCTGGTCATCTGATTGCATTGGAATTCGAACTTGGGTCTGTTTTTTTCAAACAGTTCACATGGGTGTACGAACTGAGCGAGGCCCGCCGGCTATCTAATTCGGTGTTGAACTTTTGATTCTTTAGAATCTTTTGAAACATTTTTATCTCCATGCCTGTAGGGACGGATGTTTGCGTCCCGGTCCATTAACCCATCTTTTTGTGTCTTCAATGTCTTTTAAGTTCTTTACAAGTCATGTGTTTCCTCAGCTTTTCTGTCATGTTTGCGAGTTGTCGCTGTCATTGATAAACTTATGGGTAAAGCTTCGGAATAAACCTCTGGATGGACTTCTAGATAAAACTTCTGGATAAACTTGTTTTTCTTTTTTTTTCTTTTTTTTCTTTTTTTCTTTTTTCTTTTTAAAGGGTAACGGCGCTGAGATCTCATCATTGAACTCAGCCCCAGGTAATTCAGAATTAATAACTGTTTCATTCTAGTCATGCCGTTCCACGGGGATTCAAACTCAGGTCTGTATTATAAACAGTTCATGGGTGTGCCAACTGAGCTAGGCCCATTCTTTTCTGGATAAACTTCTGGATAAGCTTCTGGATAAGCTTCTGGATAAGCTTCTGGGATAAAACTTCTCATTAGGAAAAGAATAGCAACATCCTTTTTCCACATGATATGGTGCTTCTACGGGGGATTGCAGCGAACCATGCCCGTCACTCTGCATGCCCATGCTTTTTCTCTCTGAGCTGGGGACAGGGTTGTTTCTCTCCTCCTCCTCCTCCCCCTCTTGCTGTTGCTGACTCTGCTAACAAATCTCTTTCGGCAGGCAGGCTCTGCTAATATAAGAGATTTGTTAAGATGCTTTTGAGTCAGTTTTCACGGTTGGTTGCTGATTGAATTAAACCGCACTTACGGCTACGAGGAGGCTGACCCTTTCGGATTGACGAGCCCAGGGCCACAGTCTAGTTTTTTTCTGTCGTGTCGTGTCTGCGTGGGTTTGCCCGATGTTTCCAGGTGGTAGTCATTGCGTAAAGGGAGGGAGTTGCAGATTGTGAATCTGTAAAGTCTGGGACGAGACTCACAGCAAGTTCTGATTTTTTTTTTTTTTTTTTTTTTGGCATCTGGCCCTGTTCTGGGGAATCAATCTCTGGCAGGTGCTTGGTGGATTTGATGGAAGCAAGTACTCAGCTTGTCGGAAATGGGCGACGGCATCAGATGGCACAAACGTGCCCATCTCCATAGTTTGGAGAAACGATCTGGCCAAGTTGGACGGCACCGATCCTCTTTACCTTAGTGGCTATGGCTCTTATGAGGTAGGTAATCATATGGAAGAACTGTCTTCTTCACTGCACCTGCTCCACACCTCTTCCTTTTTCTTGTTGCTCCCGGTCTCCTTCTCTTTACCTGTGCGCGCGCGCGTGTGTGTGTGTGTGTGTGTGTGTGTGTGTGTGTGTGTTTTGTTTGTTTGCCCCAAAAACGCCAGTGGTGTACTTCTAGAAGGAGCGATAAGTAGGTGCAATACGTTCGAAGTTGGTCCACTTTTTTTTTTTTTTTTTTTTTTTTTAATTTGGACCATTTCTCGATTTATGCGTGTCATCCTTACTTGCGCAGGGGCCATGCTAATCTTGTCCAGGGTCTCTGTATCGTTCCAATTTTAACGGATGTCCTGAAGGACAAGTTGGTCCACTGTTGTTTTTTTGGTTTGACAAAAGAAAGTGCATCAGATAGAAGAGCGTAAATGCACTGGGGTTCTTTCAGCGATGATGGGGAAAAGGGGTAATGGTATGCATTTGTGTATTCAATAAATTATTAAATTGGATTTTGAAATGCCGCAGTTGCTGGTGGGAAAAGGAAGGGGATAATGCCCCCCAAGATGAAAAGGAGCCACAACCTTTGCAACCATGTTTTTTTCTTTTCTAAAACTAAAAAAAAGCAGAGATGGCTTCATTCTGTCCCTGAGGGGAGCACATTAGCTGGTTCCGGTGTACTTGGAACAAAGACACCGAGAGGCCCAAGTTTGAAACCAACCCGTGACACCCAAGAAAAAGACCAGAGTTCACAGAGCATTGAAGACAATCAAAAGGCCCAAGTTCGAGACCTGTAGCATCCAAGGACAGGGCCAGACTCCAAGTCCGAGACCAGCAGAACCTGAGAACAGAACCCAAAATTTTCACCGGGCCCAAACTTTTCACCGGGACAATCGAGAGACCCAAGTTTGAGACCCGTAAGACCCACGGAAGATACCAGAATTGACGGAACAACTACGGACACGCGAAAGACCCCCCAAGTTTCGAGACGTCCACCGTTCCCCGCTTTTTTCATCACAGAAACTATCAGCCGAAGAAGACCTGCTCCATCGGCTCAGAATGGGCCTACCCAATTTTTTTGATTCAGACCCTGAACAGTCTAACAGCTACAGTCTTCCCCCGAATACAACGTACGGTCATTATAGCTGAATTTAGACTGAAAGATACACCAAATTCAGGTATAATGACCGTACGTTGTATTCGGGGGAAGACTGTAGCCAAATCATATCAGGACCTACCTTCGGGCCGAAGTTCCCCCAGTACAACCACCCGACAACCTGCCCCATTGGGTCAGAAAAATGGGCAGGAAGTGTTCCCAGAAATCTGCAAATTTCTTCGACAAATTAAACAAGGCATAGTTGAAATGCCAATCACGATAGCCTCCCTCGGCCCCAAGAACTTGTTGTTGTAGTACCATTGCACAAACCATTCATCAATCTGCCACCATGTAAACAAGGACCGAACACACACACACACACACACACACACACACACACACACACACACACACACACACACACACACACACACTATTCTCTCTGTTTTCTGCAGGGAGGGGCAGCGCATCGGATCGGATCCAATCCGATCGGATCGGATGGACGGGGGGGTTAAGGACATCATTCCTCACGTTTGTCTCTAAATGTTGCTTTCTTTCCCCCCTCCCCCGTACATCTAGATTCTAGATCATCATGAAACGGAAGCAAGTGCAAGCAGATGATTCAACGATGGATCAGACAGAAGAGAAGGTCGTGAACCGAGACAGAATTGATACACAGGAGTAGTGATTCCAAGGGGATTGTTATCTTCCCAGAAATGTTATTGCCAATCAAGTCCAAAGGACTCAGCACCCTCTAATTGTTTTCAGATTACTGTCTTGTTGTCCTTGTAGGTAGCGAATAATGCTGTGTTCTCGACGGGCAGGCTTTCCCTTCTGGATAGAGGGATCGTATTTGCAATCGCGCATGTTCGAGGCGGTGGTGAGATGGGACGACTATGGTACGAGGATGGAAAATACTTGAAAAAAATAAACACATTCACGGACTTCATCACCTGTGCTGAATACCTGATCGAGAACAAGTGGGTTTCCGCAGAGAAGCTGTGCATGGTGGGTCGGAGCGCAGGAGGTCTATTGGTGGGGGCTGTTTTGAACATGAGGCCTGGGCTCTTTCACACTGCCATTGCCAGTGTTCCGTTTGTGGATGTCCTGACGACGATGCTCGACCCCACAATCCCACTGACCATTGGAGAGTATGAGGTATGTATATGGAGGTCAGATGGCCGGGATATTTGTCAGTGGCTAGGCCGCCGGAGTGCCCCAGGTTCACTTGCCCAGCCAGGCCGAAAAAAAGAAGAAAAAAAAAAAAAAACAATTTTCACGTTGATTTTCTTTTTTTTCTTTTTTGTCTTTCATCTGCTAATTATAAATTTCTAGACATTCTTGAATCTTCTGTCTCTGAGATGTACGTTTTTTAATTTTTTAATTTTAATTACTTAATTAATTATTTTTAAATTGGTAAGGAACTTCGATTTGGCCCTGAGGCAAGAGTTGTTCAGTTTATTAAACTCTATTTTTCAATTTTTTCTTCATTAGTTTTTTTTTCATTTCTTTTCTTTTTCTTTTTTTTTGCAGGGACCTTCCATGGCCCTTGCTCAGCCAGGCGGCCCAGGCAACCAAGGTGGCTTGGGCAGGCCCGTTCGTAGCCCAGGTGAGTGGACAAAAAAAAGAAAAGGCAGATTTTCGTCATCGGCCGGCTGCAAGTACTGTTCCACCTGGCTGCTATTCTGGTTCTCAGTTGGGGCCAGTGATTGTTATCGAGTTCTCTGTTAAATTAACTTAAATACTGTTTCTAATAAGTTAATAACTTTCTAATAACTTTCTATCTAAGGCTACTAGAGTGGCCGGGGACCACTTTCCAGGTCGGACCAAGAAAAAATAAACAAATATATATTTTTTATTTTTTTATTTTTTTTATTTGTTTATTTATTTATTTTATTTTTACATTTCGTAAATTATTTCGATGTGACCTTGAGGCAAAAGTTGTTCAGTTTATTTTTCTGCATAACATAGTTTTTTTTCCGAATTTTGTTGGATTTCGTTTTTTTGTTTTTTGCTGGGACGTTCCCAAGTCCTTGCACAGCCGGGCCGCCCAGGAAAACAAGGTGACCCGTGTGGCCCGGCTGGTAGCCTAGCTTTCCATGTATATCCATCTCCTGACAGGATATCTTCTTTCTTTAACCACCAGTACATGGCCCCAGGCAACTGGAGAACCTGTTTTGAGCCTCTCCAGAAGTTTAGGAGGCCGAGCGCCGTAGATACAATGAATCGGTGGCGGGCGGCCTCCGAAAGGGGCCCGCGGCCGATAGCTGGCATGTACTGGTACTTTAAGATTGCTATCTGGTTCTCTGTTAAATGACCGATTTCATATTGTTACCAGTCTGAAACCGTCCATTGTTGTGACCAGTGCTTGGAAGGATGAGTTTGCCGGACGCATCGATGTGCGGAATCCCAACCGATTTTCTCTCTGTCTGTTGCTCTCTCTCTCTCTCTCTCTCTCTCTCTCTCTCTCTCTCTCTCTCTCTCTCTCTCTCTCTCTCTCTCTCT